AGGAATAGGAACTGAGCTGCCATGGCAAGTACATCTGTAGAGACTCATCTGCTATGGAGTAGCCCAAAAGCAGTGCAAGATTTTTCAAGGGAACACACCATTTCTAGAGTGACTCTAGAAACCACATAACCTTCAGGCAATAGATGTGAAGGTAATTCATATTATTTAAATAATATTCTATTATCTAAGTACATTCATTACATATGATTAGTGCACATATTATGGATGCATAGAATACATTCCTGTTACAGATAATATTGCAATTCCTGCATTTTAAGATTCATTTTAACCTCAAATGTTCTGGCTGACTGGAACAGCTCTCCTCTTCCTTGGCATACACAAAGCACCACAGAGTACTTATACATGCACACTTTTGGACAGTTTTGAACATGCTGCAGGCTCTCATTATATAACAAAGTCCCTTTGATGTATCTGTTTATTGCCTGGAAAACAGTGTGAGACTTACAAGGTCCACAGGGAACTTTGGGTTAATTAAGTCTATCACGTTCCCATGGATCCTGGTATGATCAGTGACTGAGGCAGCCAGGTAACATTGACTTGATGGGAACTCTTCACTGTTCTTCCAGCTGCTCATTATTACTTCTTTTAAAAGTAGTTGTTTCTAGCAGGATCAATAAGCAAGTTTGGAAGAATTTCTAGCAGCTAAATAAAACACATACCTTACATGGGTGGCAGCATATTTCCAGACATATCTGTTATGTATCAATCCTTGTTAAAGAGATAAGCTGGGCCTCAATGAATCCTTTCCTGCTACAAAACTCTACAAACAGGTAAAAAGCTTTGTGACGTGGCCAGTCCTGTCTCTGTGGCTCTCGATTGTCTCACTGCAATAATGGCAAAGGAGCAAGCGAGACACACGGATATCCTTTAGAGCCCTCCAGGTGTTCAGTGCCTGATAACACTAACTTTACTAGGGTTCTTGCACCCTGCCTTCTTGTCTCTGTTTCTTTGAAGAGAGGTGATGACTGCACCCAGGGTTCCACGTTCCCCTGTTCATTCAAGGAGAGAACAGAAAGAGGTTCAAGGATCTTACAACACAGAAATGCCCTAGGGTTTGCACCAGTGATGGTGATAACAGGTAGAAGCCATGAATGCCCCTATTAGGAGCACCATCCAAGTGACAAGATATCAAGGAAACTCTGCAGGCTGGAACTTGCTGAATTTCCCATCCTTTAAGCTGGATTTTCCCATTTGATCGATTCGCAGTGTGGTATCACTTGGAATGGCCTGGAGGAACAAAAAATATAATTTACTGGACTGGAATGCAAACCCAGCAAAGGCATGGGTGAGGTGCAGCAACAACCAACAAGTATTGAGCTGCATTGCTCAGGGCAGCATCAGAAAAAAATAAGGTAGAAGTGGAAAAGGGAGTGGAATTTATTGTCTGTGTTCAGCTATGTCTACACAGAGTGAGCATGGCAGTGTAAAATGTGTCTTGTCTGAACACAGCCTCCGCTATGGTTGGTCAAATTCAGGTGAGGTGATATCAGGTGGTAGGTACCCATTGGCCCCCTCCGGGGAAGAGGAGGGTGGGGAACTCCTGGAAGCAGGAAGGCTGAGTCACTCAGCTCTATTCTCCTTCAAGCAGTCAAGCAACATATGAGATTAGATATGTAATCTGTACTTTTGCCAAAGTGGTAAATGAATAAAGGAGGTTGCAAAAGGAACGGAAGCCCATTCAAATGAAATTGTGTGAAAGTGAGCACAAAATACAGAAAATAGTAAAGAATAAAAACTTTAAAGCTAAAGGAGCTGAAATTTTACAGATTCTTAAGTGTTGCATTGCCAGAGCTATCATGTGGGAATTAACAACGTTTTACCTTTTCTTAGTGAATACAAAGAAATATCTAACATTTTTTAGATAACATCATCATATGTTAAGAGATAACTTTTGCAACACTCTTAAATTCCAAATTTATCTCTTCCCTTTTTGAAACAAACTTTTGACTCTCCTAAGTTTGATGAGGGTTTAAGAATTTGTAGGAGTATGTGAGGGGTGGGTCCACCTTAAGAAAGATCATCCACCATCTAAAACATTTTTCAAATGTACAAGTATTCCATATTGCAAGAGAAGGAAAACTCCCTAAAGCTTCACCTCTGAAGATAGAATGAGTTTCCTGTCTTCGAAAGCCCTATCCTTCTTTCCAAGTAAGTATTCATTTTATAATACCCAGAGTTGTCTGGAGAAATAAACTATATTGCTGAGAAAGTAAGCAAATTTTTCCCAAAGATACTCCTAGTAATTTTAAAATACCTAGAAATTAGCAGGGTGTTTTCAAGAACAAATGCATGCAGTTCTTATTCAGAATGGTCTAATCATGAAGCACAGGAGAAGGGAACCACTGGAACTCTGAACACCTCTTTTTGGTTGCTACTTCAGCCACTGATTTTCTTCCCATGACTGTCAAGGTCATCCAGCCTTTCCATACCTTGTTTCCCCAGGTGCAAAATGGAGACAATTTTTCCATAACTCAGATTAAAACTAAGAAAGCTGAGATTTTTATGTTTTCAATATGGTAGGACAGAGGACTTGGGCTACACAGACAGAATTTAAACCCATTCGTTTTCCTTCACTGCCCTGCTATAGAAGTTGTTAGAAAAGTCACTACCACCAAGTTCTTCAAACATGAAGCTCTGATGCAATGACAATTGGTACATCTGGAACAAAGAGTCAAAGAATAGAGCTCAGCTGTGAACTTCTTCATAATGAGCACAAGTCCTAAGATGAACAATGCCAGGAAATATTTTTTTGATGCTAAGCAGCTTGACTCCAGAAGCATCAACATTATACTGGCTTTAGTGACACTGTAAATGCCCCAAATAAAGTGACTTATATGTGATTGGTATCAAGGGGTTGCTTTATGGTTGTTGGCTGAAACACAAGGCTTGGTAAGTGCAATGAGACCTTAGATGCACTTAGCCACAGACTTGTGGTCAATACAATTATGGAAGAGGCTGTTAACGAAGTTAGACTCCAGACATTTTTGCCTCAGACTCTGCTATTCTGAAATGCACTCTTCTGAAGAACAGTCAAAACTACATACCCCTGGAAGTTAAAAATCCCATGCTTTGGCTGAGACAGTTTTGAGATCTTCACTCTCACGTTAGCCCACCTTCCAAGAAAAAAGACTGCACAGAGATCTCCTTTTTCTCCTGGTGCTCCACACTGTCCTTGCACAGCTGCTTGCATCACAGGTGAAATGCACACGTGAACTGCTGAGAATGAGCATGTTTGCCTCCTGTAAAGAGCCACACGTGAAGATAAAAGTCTGCCCTGAAAGGAAACAAGAAGATGAGGCAGAAGAAATACAATGCATCCTTGGAGAGGAAGGTGCAGCTCCAACATGCGGGTCCAGGTGCTGACAGTCCTGCACGCAGAGATGTAACTCTCAGCTCTGGAATACTGGGCTGGAATTTGCTCTGGGATGTGTGCCTGGCTGGCCGCCAATCACAAGGGAGAGCAGTGCCTCTTGGCAACTCAGAGCAAGACATATCCAGAGTCCTCAATAGTACTCCTGAGGGTAACAGCAGCTGGGGGTAGATAGGATTGGACATTTTCCAAAGCATCTGGAACAAGTGAGCCTCTTAAGCCAGGGCTGTCCAGTGCTCTCATTGTGATCTGGAACTATTAGAGAGGTGTCTGTATACTGGAATAGATATTAATTACTGCAGTGTATGATTGCTTGGGCCAAACAAGGCTCCTAATCCTTTCTTTGCATTTTTTACTTTCTTATCTCAACCATCTCCTAATGTGAAGTAGTGTAGGCCAACACACAAGGTGTCCAGCAGCTGGAACTCACCCGCCCTTGCAGTATTCATGTATCTACCTTAATAATAAGGAACCAGTAGCTGGTTTTCCACCCTGCTGGAATGACTGTCTTCCAGCCTCCACAGAAGTTAGTGTTGATCCCCTTTTTACTGGAATTTTGCTTTGCTATGAGCACTAGCCCGACTGAATTTATCCTGCACAGCCTGGTAATAACCAGTGTTTCCACAGGGCATGCAGAGGCTGGAACTTCAGTAAGAGGAACCTGCTTCTTTTTTGCCATTTGTACTTGGTAAAATACATCTGAATCACTCTCAAACAGTTTGCCTGACTAATAGCAGCATCTCACATCCCATCTTAAAAATATTCTAGCAATGAGATAATTACAGAAGGAAATAGGCTGTATTTTCTCAAGAAATCGAAATGCTAGTTTAATTTGCTAGAAGTGCTCAGGGAAATTGTTTTTCATGAAAGTTCAAGTTTCTCCACATGGACCACTGCAGCAGAAGACCATCCTTCTGTGCTCAGATCCACAGGAAAACTGTAAGTTGCATTTTACATTTCTTCCAGATGGAGTTTCAAAAATTAGCAAAGATCAGTTGTAATCATTTAGCTTTACATTTTCTAAAATCTCTATTCTTATGGAGTTTTGGGTGGCTTTTTTTGCTGTGTTTCTGTTTGCTTGTTTTAATACAGATGAAGTTTAATGAATGTGTTGTCCATACATAAAGATAACAGAATATAGAACTTCAAGACAACACAGACAATATTGAGCACAAGAGTTTTAGCTGTTTGACTAAAAGGTTCAGTCCTGGGCCTAGGTACAAACTTATGTAAGTCATTATATCCCTGTGTCTCTCTTTACCTGACAAAAATTTAGTACTTTGTGCTTCAGACTATAGGACAAAACAGAGAACTGATGTTTTCAAAGTTTTCTGACATCCTTTGATGAGATTGGAAAACCGAAGCTTTGCATACTTATGGAAAAATCTGAAAACCTTGTTGCCCTTCACTATTTTAATGATGAAAGTGTAACGATAATGTAGCTACCAATCAAAAGCTGAAGTCTGCAAAGATGCAAAACTGCTTTATAAGCAACACTTCACTAGATAGGTACTGTGAAAGATCATTCTTTAAGAAAAGCTTAGCACTTTCAACACTTTCAGCACTTAAACACAGAGAGATATCATATTTTTAATGTATTTTGAAGTTTATTTTTCTTAATAATTTTTAGGTCAAAAGCATTGTATGTAACCAAGTGCATAGCACTGAATACATCACTTTGACTAGCACAGCTCAAAGAGGACCAAGGAGACAACTCACACACTTCTGCATAAAGTACGTAACATCCATTGGTGATACCTGTGTAGCAATCTATGGGCAAATGAAATTTATAACATCTTCATTTATTTTAAGTGTAGTCTGTTGTGTATACACAAAATCAGAAAAATATATTCCTTTTTTCTTATATACACTATATAACATGAGAATAAAATCTGGAATAGTTTGCAGTAACTTAGATGAGACTAGACTTTCAGATACAGAGCTTTAGAAACACCTCTTCAGCATCGTTTGTCTTGGACCATTGTGATAAAAAAGTTGCAGAAAGAAAGCAAACTTTCTGGACAGTATTCCTCAGCCACCTTTCTCTGGTCAATGTAATCTACATCTTCAACACAGTCTTGAGGACTCTGTTCTGGTGTTTTTTCAGACACAGAGGCAGCTGCTGGAGTCAGAACAACTTCTTGCACGTGATGCTTTGTGTTCCCTTTGTCAGCACCCACTGCTGTTAGTAGGCTTGAGTGGGTCAGCCTGAGGTGAGCACTTTGTGGGCCTTTCCTGCATACTTTAGATTTTAGTACACTTCTGGGGTCTTGACAGATATGCTTCTGCTTCTTTAGAGATCGGGAGACTTGTTTCCAGTAGGTTTTCTGGTTTGCTGCATACTGTGCACAGCTGGAAGGGTCTCCAGAGAATTCACACCAGAACTTGTTGTCACCCTGCTTGCACTCCACATGCACAGTAGCAGCATTCATGTCTGCCACTGCCCAGGTGCACTCAGCATTCTCTTTGGTTGTAAACTTGCCTCTAGGAGATGATTTTCCTCCTTTTGACTTTTGCACTTTTTCGTTTCCTTGGGTAGATTCAGTTGGGGTTTTCCCATCATCTTTTTTGCCTTGTCTTCCCTTTTTTCTTTCCCTCTGTCTTTCACAATTGGCTAGCAGCATCTGGGAGACCAGCATCAACACACAAAGGAGTCCAAAGCTCTTGATCCTCATGGTCTCTATTTTGCTGTTATCTGCCTTCAGAACAAACAAACAAAAACATAAAAACATTTTCAGTTAATGCTGGACTCCATTCGACAGTTGAAGTTTTTCAGACATGGCATTGCACTACTCTTTGATACCTATTAAAGTGATGCTATTGGCAAAATGATCTCTCCTTTGCCTAAATAATATCTGGTTTCTAGAAGCACTATGAATTGTCCTTGTAAATGGCTGCAGAGTAAATTCCAGTAATTTAACTATTTATACAATGGGGAACAGAAGATTCACTGTCAGGACATGATACTGTCCAGTAACTGAGGTACCTTAATTAAAATCTCTATTGTAGTCAGCAAAGGAATATGAACCTGGGATTTGTCAATCTCAGATATCTTAAGTTGCAACAATAAATTTGTTTCCACAATCTCCCACTTTGTAAAATGTCCCATAAGTGATTTTGACCTCTGGCTATTCTTCAAAAATATGCCAGAGAGAAAGGAAACCATCTGGTTCAAATTGAGGAAAACTACTTTGTAGGCATCCTGAAAATCATTGTAATTCACTGGTTATGACGGTATTTCAGTTTTCTGTTGAAATACATTATGGTAGTCTTTCCAGACATCAAAAAAAAAAAACTATTGACGCATTCTTTGCCCCTTTGACTGCTAAACAAACAGAACTACTTTTTTGCTTTTGAAGATACCTGCAGGGTACTAGACTGTGTCTAAAGCTACCAGATTCAAGGGATAAATACGCAGCTTCAGTTTTGAAATGTAGCTAGTGAGCAACTTATTATCAAGCTGATTTCTGCATCTGCACAGGGCACATTTATTTCCATAGGTGTTTCTTTTTATGAAGCAGCTTTCAGGATCAGAGCAGGGTTTAAATCAGATATTTAGATGATTAAATCCCTAAATGTATTTTTCAGATGTTTCCATCATAGTAATTTCTTTAGCCAAGTTTTCATGTTGGAAAGCAGAAATTCGTGTGCAGCCACATTAATAAGGAATCTGTTTCAACATTCAGTTATCTGCAAATATCTTTGGTAGCATAAATTTAGAATGTAGGACACACAGGTTTCAGCATATGTGAGCAGGTCCTACTTTCACATATTTTTGACTTGACTTGCTTCAAGCCTTATACTATACACAAATTTTCACTCCATAAAACCCTCTTTAGAGAACCTCATGTAGTCTTAACAGCTCTGTTGCAAATACAGCAACTAATAACATTAAAATGAATAAAGATTTGACAGTAATATTCTACTGCAAGTGGAACAGTGCAAAGAGTAAGATAACTGAAAGACATACCTTGCACAGGGCTTGAGGATTCCCAAACGCAATCCTGGCACAACTCACCTCTTTCAAAAGAGCTGGAGCTCATTGTAAAAGCAGCGCGGTTTTTATAAAGGCAGAGACACACCTTCAAGTCTCCAGTCAGACTATTACAACACAATAGGATACTTCAGTGCCATGTTCACTTACCTCTGACACACCTCCTTGGAAAAGGGCCAGTTCTCATTCTTAGCACAAGAAAAAAAAAAGGGCCTGGCTATGGTGGGTGACAATGTGTGCTTGCGTAATTCAGGTGTTACTTTAGCCAAGTCCTTCCCTCCTCATGAACAACAATAAGAACTCTATCAGGTCATGAGCTTCTCTGAAAGAGCTGTTACCAGCTATTGAGGGATGTTTCCTACACACCCTCAACAAGTTGCACTACCATTTCGTTTAGCAGAATTTGATAATGATAGTGAGAACCACTCCACAAAGCATTTCAAAGTTACCTTTCAAAATGTAATTAAGTACTTAAAAAAACCAAAGTAACTATTTGAATAGTAATTAATAGGAGTCCAGAGCAGGCCACTAAGTCAAGGGCTGGAGTACCTCTCCAGGCTGGTTCAGGCCATTCAGGCTCCAGTGAGATTTTACAGCAACATTTCAGTACCTAAATGGGGATTACAAGAGAGCCAGAGAGGGACTTTTTACGAGGGCTTGTAATGGTACAACATGGGGTGATAGCTTTAAACTGAAAGAGTGTAAGGCTGGATGAGATGTAAGGAAGAAATTTCTTTTTATGATGAGGTTGGTGAGACACTAGGAGAGGCTGCCCTGAGAGGTTGTGGACTTCCCATCCACAGAAGTGTTCAAGAGCAGGCTAGACAGGGCTCTGAGCAACCTGGTCTTAGTGGAAGGCTCTCTGTCCATGGCAAGGGCATTGGCGCTAGATGATATTTAAGGTCCCTTCCAACCCGAACCGTTTTAGGATTCTATCATTCTGCATTTAGGATGGTGAGATGGTGAGATGGTCATTTATGATGAAATGGTCAAAAGCATGCAACTCAGAAACAAATTCAAACTCCTGCAGAATTAGTGACTGAGAGGCCTAAGGGCTCAGTTCAGCTGCACAGCACTGATCTACACTCCTCCCTCTGCCAGCTTTTGTGTGCGTAAAGAAGTGTGTTACATCATGAGATTTCATTATGGGACCACATCTAATGCATATTAACCTGAAAAAGAAGATGAAAGTGAAACAAGCATTAGACAAATATAGAAACACATTCAGAGCTGGGAATAGGCATCCCTCAAAGAATGGATAGAGCAGCTGGTAGCTTTGTAGCTTGGTTGCTTCAAGTGGTTTTGCTGAAGAAATGTGAGGCATTTGTTATATAAGATTTGGAAATACAAGAATTAAAAAGGGATGCAAGAACAGAGAAAAGTAGAAATTAGTGTAAGATATAGGCAGGTATTCCTCTTTGGCTCTTTCCTATCTGATATAAATGGAATTAAACAAAGGGACAAAGCTATAGACACAGCATTGTCTGGACTGGTTTGGAGACAAGGAGACTGTTAACTTTCTGTAAAAAAACCCAAACAACAGAAGCAAGAAAAGGAAGAACAGTGCAATTCTTCAGTGACTATAGGACAGAAATGTGCATTTATTTGAAATATGAATGGTCTGATCTGTGTATCAGGACTATCTCCTATTCTATGTATGTGCAGCTATCTTTGGTGCTTTTTGATGGAGTTCAGGCACCACATCTGCCTCGTGCATCTTTGGTTGGCAGGAGTTACTATGAAACTGTTTGCAAAAGTCTGCTAAATGTGACAGACTTGTGGTTAACACTGGCAAAGGCTGATGATGGGGGCAAGGACGACCTGATCAGGAAATGTTTAACAATATGTCAGGTTGGAAGGGAATCAGAGAATGAAAGCAATGTAAGAGAGTAGTAAGCAAGGTACTATCTTGCTCAGGAATACTAAACTGACGTTACATAGTATACACAGTACTATCTAGAGTATTTAGGATTTAGCAGGGATCCTCAAAACTGTGCAGCTGTATTAGTGTGGCTCTGTGCTGTACTTAATGAGCCTCTCAGCAGGGCTAATTACTCTGGGGACACCATAAAGTCAAAGGGCTATGCTAACCTCACATTCTGGTACTAATTTAGGTATGGTTTTATTGTGCCTGATTGCTTGTATAAACATACTATAAATTGATTTTTGTGTGACAGATTAGGGTATTGGTTCAGCTATAGGAGCCTGAGCAATCTGGTTTCAGGACCAAAGCCAAAAACCTAACCAAACCACAACACACACCTTCCTATTACAGCTGAACAATGTCTCCAAATAGGTAAGAGAGGAAGAATTAAAATATGTAAGGAACCATGGGAAATGGGACCAAGCACAAAATTTACAGGAAGGAAATACGTGTTCCTGTCCCAGCTCTGTCATAGACTTTGTCAGAGATATTTACTTGGAGATGACACTGGTTCTTCACCTGGAAAGGGAATTCTCTTGTAGGTGGTGCTGCAATGATTTTTTGTTGGTGTTTACAAAATGCCATTTAGTGGTGAAATCAATCACAACGTATTGAAAATATTTAAGCCCTCCACCATTCATTGCTTCCAAAACTGCCTATTTTGACAGCTTTGATAAGCAAAATAAGTTTTAATATTAATCTCAGTTCAGCTGCCCCGTTATTGACAGTACGTATCCTAGTCTTCTTACTTCATAAAAATGGGGGAGGATAGGGAGAGAAAAGGCTGTACAAGTGATCTGCTTTCTGCTGCTTTGGTGCTTCCTCCCCGAGGCTGTGGCAAACTGGACACTTGTTGGCTCTTCCTGTCTTTAGCACGCAGAAACTCCTGTAGAGAATTCTGCAGTCAAGAGTTTGTTGACATGGGCACTTACATCTTTGAGATGATCTTGAGCCAGCTGGAACTCTTGCCTAACCTGCTTAGATGATTTCAAAACCTCAGCAGACTAAGATGTATGTATTTAGGTGCATAAAATACAGTCTCAGTCTATGGAGGTTAGTCTGGACATCAGGAAGTTTTACTGCTATGCCCCTAGAATATATTTTTATTTTTTTTTTGTTTTCATTACACATGAACTGATGTTTTGTGGATGCCTTTCACCTACCTGGGCATATAGTTCATTTTGTACCCCAAAAATCCTGCTGGGAGTTGTCCTATCAGTTGATCAGAACAGTCACCTTCTTCAAATGTCATCCTGGAAAGAAAGTACACAAAATTAAAGTAGGAGCTTCATTTCTTAGATACCTAATTAGCACCTAATTGCCAAAAAAAAATTCTGCAAAAGCCTGTTTGTAATATGATTTCCAAGAATCTATTTTTTTTATTTCTGCCATGCACATTTTAAAATTCACCTTAGTTGTGGACTTTGCTGGGCTAGAATGCTGTTTCCCTGTAAACTGCAGACATGGTTTTGCCACAAAACAAACAGGGCAGATAATTCATCAAAAGACAATTTGATCCACACAATGAATGGCAAATGTGGATGGCTAATTTGGTGAAGTCAAATCTATGGAGAGCTGTTTAGTTATTAAAGTAGAAAGGCACTACATTTCCATTCTTAAGTAAACAAGCTTCAGTCAAAGAACTCGTAACTTGATTTCCTTTTTGATTCTATAAGTCTAGGATTTACAGGACAGTAAGCCAACAGCCCTAAGTGCTGAAACCCTTTTGTATAGCAAGGAAATAGTTACCACACAGGCAGTGGCTCCACTGCCAGCTCTTCTGTATCTCACTGCCTATGCCCAACACTTCAGAAGAATGTTCCATAGCCTACTGTCACTTCTCTGAAAGAGTACAGTTAATTTAAAATGTGATGATGGTTTCAATGCACTGAGATCTGTTTATTAACTATTCTACATGGAGGCACAATTATTTGAAAGAAGCTGAAGAAAACTCATCAGTTAACAACTTTCAGTTACTTCGGGCCTGGGGTTAAATTCATATTAGTTAAATAAATATGAAAGAAAAAAAAAAGGCACTAGATTCTCTCTTCATTGAGTCTTTAACAGTGTCCAATTATTTCACAAACTGACCAAAACTGACACCCAAATTTGGCAGAACAGTGTCCAAGTGAAAGCTGATATCACAAAACCTCAATAAAAAAATAAACAAATACAAGGTAATTCAAACAAATGTTAAGTGTAAGTCAATCACAGAACAACAGATACCATATGACTGCTGTATATTAATTTTAAACTAATAAAAAAGAGAATTTTACAAGACTAAATAGTAAGGACATTATATTATAGCAATTAAATTCTAGTCCATGCAGAGGTTCGCATTTACATTTAAGAACTAAATTCCTGAAACACTAATGAATTGAACACTGCTGCTTCATACAGTGGTTATCTATGAGTGAAACCGTCAGCTTAATAATTTTATCCATCACTTGCAGGTGTAGTATTACTGATTCCCTTCCTCATCTATGAAGTTCATAGTTTTTGCTTGCAGTATTTCTTCATTTACTTGCTGCATTATGTTGGCAACATTTTGATTAAAATATCTTGAAATTCATTACTGCCAGGGTGTAGTTTCTGTTCAGCAGAGGTCTAACCCTCCTGACTCCCAGCTCATGCGTGGCAGTCAGCAGTTGTTAATCTATTCCCTTGCTGCCTACTGAACACACTGTCACGTGGAGTTGGAAAAGGGAGAGTTTGTTTTCAAACCTGCAGAGCTTTATCTCTGTAGGCAAGGACAGAGGCGTTTTCAGAAAAATCTAAGTGGTTTTAATTAACCCAAGGAGATCCAAGCCAGTGATGGAATATGACCACTAGAAAAAGGAAATCCCTCTTGTTTAATGAGGTAATACAGAGCAAAAAAANAAAATTTTGATGCCAAATGGAGTTTACTGAGTGTTTCACCTTGGCAGGAGGAGGCCTTCTGAATTCAATAAGGGTAGGAAATTTGCAATGTCTTCTCTCCCTTAATTTTATTTTGAAAGTATATTAGGTCAACCTTAAAGAAAATTTGCCTCGACTCTGAAGCAATTCAAAGAAGTATAAATAATTACCATTACTACTTAAACATGATTACCCTCTTCTATACAGGA